CGCCTGTCTGTAAAAGTGTCTGTGCGTAAAAGTGTCTGTGTGTAAAAGTGCCTTGTGTGTAAAAGCGTCTCTGTGTAAAAGTGTCTCTGTGTAAAAGCGCCTGCCTGTAAAAGCTTCTCTGTGTAAGGGGTTCTCTGTGTAAAAGCTTGCTCTGTGTAAAAGCTTCTGTGTGTAAAGGTGTTTGCGATGCAAACTATTGTCGTGTACTTATGCTATATTGTCTTGATACTCCTCTTCTCGACTGCCTACAACACATCTTTAATATATTGTTTTGTAATATGGTGTCTCCATACTAGCAAGAGAAGACCCTGCTCCTCTACGCTCTCGGGCCATCCGTTGTCTAGTTTTTGTTGCGAGTCGCATTGTCAGGGCTGCGTCAAGTGGCGACAAGATGGAAGTCCCGTGGCAGGCGTGGCATTTTGCGCGATGTGCTGATAATTGACGGAAGCCTCGCACGAAACATCGATTTTGAGGTAGCAAATTTAGAGGTTCCTAAGAAAACTCATAGGAAAACATCGATTTTGAAGCTACAAAGTGTCAAAATTAGAGGAAGTCTCGCACGAAATGCTGGTTTTTCTGCATGCACGTGTCTTGTCTCGAGTCTCATGATTTTCCTGTGGCCTCGCCGTGTCTATGGGGGAAGCTGCAAAAACTCTCCTTTTCGAAAGTTTCCAAGCAGGTTGTCATGTCGTTTTGCATGCTGTGTTTTGCTAGACAAAACGTGTCCTGGAAGATGGGGAAGCTTGTCCGGCGAGCGGGTCCCGGACGGTCTGACAGTTCAGTCGTCATTTTCACAATTTCAACTTGCAAATATTGAGGGAAGTCTCGCACGAAAGCTTCGTTTTCACATCTTCAATTTTCAGATTTTGAAGGATGTCTCGCACGAAAGCATCGTTCTTCCATCGTCTACTTTCACTTTTGGAAAGTGTCTCGCACGAAAGCTTCGTTTTCACATCTTCCACTTTCGCTTTTGGAGGGAAGTCTCGCACGAAAGCTTCGTTTTCGCAGCTTCCACTTTCAGATTTTCACATCTTCCACCTTCACTTTTGGAGGAAGGTCTCGCACGAAAGCTTCGTTTTCACATCTTCCACTTTCAGATTTTGCAGGAAGTCTCGCACGAAATGCGTTTTTGAAATTTCGCGGATGCACGACATGCTGTGTTTTGCAGGACAAAACGTGTCCTGGAAGATGGATGGGGAAGCGTGTCCGGCGGGCGGGTCCCGGACGGTCTCGGCTGTACCGGGATCATTCTCGGAACTGACGGTTCAGGCGTCAATTTCACAATTTCAACTTTCAAAAATTGACGGAAGTCTCGCAGGAAAGCTTCGTTTTCGCATCTTCAACTTTCAGATTTTGAAGGAAGTCTTGCTCTTCCACTTTCACTTTTTGAGGGATGTCTCGCACGAAAGCTTCGTTTTCACATCTTCCGCTTTCAGATTTTGAAGCAAGTCTAGCACGAAATTTACGCTGTTGAAAGTTAGCGGATGCACGACATGCTGTGTTTTACTAGACAAAACGTGTCCCGGAAGATGGGGAAGCTTGTCCTGCAGGCGGGTCCCGGATGGTCCCGGCTATGTTCGGATCATGGTCGGATGGGCCCCGCAGTGGAACTGACACTTCAGGCATCATTTGGCTAACGTTCCTGCGCCTAGTTCTATTGTGTTGCGCAACAGATCGCAGTGGAACGGGCGATTCAGGCGTTGTTTTGCTGACATTCTCGCACGTTGTTCTTTAGCATTTCGCAAGTCAGTCTCTGCAGATCGCATCGTAATGGCCGCGTCAAGGTTGCTTGCTGGTGCCGCTGCGTGCGAAATATTATTGTCTTTTGCAGCTGGGCATCGTAAATCGTATTGGAGTGGCTGCATCAAGGCTGCGATAGTGATTTGTCAGCCGATTTTCTCAATTTTGGCGCTGGTGACTTTCCTTTTAAAACTCCTTTCAAAAAGTGCTTCAAAATCGTCTTTTTTTTGCTCTGGCGTCGAGATCCCCGGTTTTGGAGCTGCAATTTCTCACGCCGTTGCGCATAGTAGTTCTATTGTGCTTAGCAACTCAGTTTCGAAGATCGCATTGGAATGGCTGAGTCAAGGTTGCTGTGGCTGGACCAAGGCTGCGATAGTGACTTGTCAGCAGATTTTCTCAATTTTGGCGCTGGCGATTTTCCAGTAAAATAACCTTGCAAAAAAGTGCTTCAAAATCGTCTTTCTTTGGCTTTGGCGTCGAGATCCGGTTTTGGAGCTGAAATTTCCGACGCCTTTGCGCGTAGTTCTACTGTGCCGAAGCCGTTGCGTGTAGTTCTACTGTGCTTGGCAACTCAGCCTTTGCAAATCGCATTGTAATGGCTGCGTCAAGGTTGCTTGGAGCCGCGGCTGTGCGCGTATTACTGAATTCTTTTGCAGCTGGACATCGTAAATCGTAATGGTGTGGCTGCATCAAGGCTGCGATAATGATTTGTCAGCAGAATTTTCTCAGTTTAAAAGCTTGCTGTGTGCAAAATCTTCTCTGTGTAAAAGCTTCTCTGTGCAAACGCTGGCTGTATGTAAAAGCTTCTGTGTGTAAAAGTTTGCTGTGTGTAAAAGCTTCTCTGTGTAAATGCTTCTCTGTGCAAGGGCTTCTCTGTGTAAAAGCTTGCTGTGTAAAAGCTCCCTGTGTTAAAAGCTGGCTGTGTGTGAAAGCTTCTGTGTGTAAAGGCTTCTGTGTGTAAAAGCTCCTCTGTGTAAATGCTTCTCTGTGTTAGGGCTATTCTGTGTGAAAGCTTTCTGTGTGCAAAAACTTTGGTGTGTAAAAGCTGGCTGTGTGTGAAAACTTGCTGTTTGTAAAAGCTTCTGTGTGTAAAAGCTTCTCTGTGTAAAAGCGTCTGTGTGTAAAAGCTTCTCTCTGTAAGGGCTTCTCTGTGTGAAAGCTTGCTTCGTGTAAAAGCTTGTGTGTGCAAAAGCTTCTCTATTTAAAAGCTTTTCTGTCAGAACTTCTCTGTGTAAAAGTTCGCTGTGTGCTAAAAGCTACTGCGTGCAAAGCTTCTCTGTGTAAAAGCTTCTCTCTGTGAAAGTTTGCTGTGTGTAAAAGCGTCTGTGTGTAAAAGCTTCTCTGTGTAAATGCTTCTCTGTGAAAGGGCTTCTCTGTGCAAAAGCTTCTCTAAAAGCTTGCTGTGTGTAAAAGCTTCTGTGTGTGAAAGTTTGCTGTCTGTAAAAGCTTCTCTGTGTGAAAGCTTGCCGTGTGTAAAAGCTTTCTGTGTGTAAAAGCTTCTCTGCGTGAAGGCTCGCTGTGTGTAAAAGCTGTGTAAATGCTTCTGTGTGTAAAAGCTTCTGTGTAAATGCTTCTGTGTGTAAAAGCTTTTCTGTGTAGGAGCTTCTTTGTGTCAGAGCTTGCTGTGTGTAGAAGCTTCTCTGTGTAAAGGCTTCTCTGTGGAAAAGCTTCGTAAAAGATGTTCTGGGTAAAAGCTTGCTGTTTACAAAAGCTTGCTTTGTGTAAAAGCTTGCTGTGAATAAATGCTTTCCTAACTCTGTGTAAAAGCTTCTGTGTTTACAAGCTTCTCTGTGCAAAATCTTGCTGTGTGTCAAAGCTTCTCTGTGTCAAATCTTCTCTGTGGAAAGCGTAGGGGTTTCTTGCTTTGGCGCCGAGATCCGTTTTTGGAGCAGGTTTTGGGCCAGAGAAAACGTGAGATAATTTGAGAGTGTGCTGAGAAGAGCTGAGATGAGGTGAGACGAGCTGACAAGAGCTGAGTTCTGCTGAGTCGATGTGAGGAGAGCTCAGAAGATGTGAGAAGAGGAGAGAAGAGATGAGAACACATAAGATAAGCTTACATGAGCTGCGGAGAGTTGAGAAGAGCTGTGAAAATCTGAAAAGCTGAGATAAGCTGAGATGAGATGAGAAGAGATGAGAAAAGCTCAGGTGACATGAGAAGAGATGAGAACAGTTGTGATCAGCTGAGAAGAGCTGAGAAAGGGAGAGAAGACATCAGATGGGACGAGATGAGATGAGGTGAATAAACTCAGAAGACACGAGATGAGCTGAGATGAGATGGGATGACACAGACCGCGGTGACAGAGGGATGCAATGAGCAATTTCCAAAAGAAGCTGCAATGCGATGAGATCAGATGAAATGAGAAAAGATTCAACATTCGAAAGACATGACATCAGATTGACAAGTCAAGAGCTTTTTGCTGCGATGCGCAGGAGGCTTGCCTGTCACCTATAGGCACAGCCTTTGCTCCGCTCTATAGGCTATAAGCGCTTCAAATTTGAAACTTCCGCCCCCCGCTTGCCCGGGTACTACTTGCACGCATGTGTGTATGTTTACATATAGAAAGTGTGAACACCTGCAGATGCTCTCTTTTAACCACACATCGTCGCTTCAAGCATCGTGGGATAGCTACCGTCTCCTTTCCGTAGAGACATTAAAAGTGAACTCCACATTGAAATAACAATGGGTTAAACACAGATGGGGGTAGAAACCACACACATCTGGAATATGGTTTGACTGCAAGAATCGAAACACATGTATGGTTAGACTACTAGAGTCAAAACACATACCCCCTACATGGTCAAAAACCACTGACAGAGGGTTAAGTTCCATCTTAGACCCTCCTCCCATCACTCCGCAGAGGAGATCAGGGAGGGAGGGTGGGGAAAAACTGAACTGGGTCCTTGATCCAAAATGGCATCAAGGCCCAGAGGTCTCAACACTTTCATACCTCATAAAGCCCCTACCCAACCAACCTACAGTTATGAAGGATAAGAAAGTGTGAACACCTGCAGATGCTCTCTTTTAACCACACATCGTCGCTTCAAGCATCGTGGGATAGCTACCGTCTCCTTTCCGTAGAGACATTGAAAGTGAACTCCACATTGTTATGAAATAACAATGGGTTAAACACAGATGGGGGTAGAAACCACACACATCTGGAATATGGTTTGACTGCAAGAGTCGAAACACATGTATGGTTAGACTACTAGAGTCAAAACACATACCCACTGTTAATAAATACCCCCTGTTCACATTAATGTCAAATTCGGAGGGAGCGTAGAAACTCACCACGGCTTAAGCCCGGTGGGAAAGAGTAGGATTGGAGGGACCAGTTCTGCGACTGTGTCCACTCGTCCTCTAGGCCTGCTCGGCTCAGTCCATCGCTCGGGTTGGAATCGGAGTCAATCCACTCGTACCAAACCCTCGAGCGGAGCATATGCAGCATGTAGTGCGAGTACTGTGCAATCTCGTGGACATCACACTGAGATGAAGCACAGCGCACTAGGGTGCTAGCAGCGCTCTCGTTATCAACGAACCAGAGGATGTCACGATCCGCCAATAGCGCCGGGAGGAGAGCTGGAAGCACTAAGGCTACCACAGCTTCCCCCGGGTAGATCTGCTGCTTGCGCGGGATCCAACTAGCAATGACCTCCTGAGGAACGACACAAGTACCCCCGCGTGGTTGGTAGGTGGTACCCGGACACACCAATACCCAGCCAAGCCGGAGCACTCCTTCTTCAAAGGAGGCATCAGAGTAAATCACCATTGGCGGTTGGTCACGGCCACAAACTTGAACGTCACGGGGCTGGCAATCTAGTACAATCTGCAATAGTACCTGCAAGGAGATGCAGTCATCTTCGTCCAATGGCGTGGGACCTTCAGCACGCAAGTGAAAACATCCATGTGAGGTCGCCACGTAGTTTACCTGCCTCCTCCTGGGTTAGGCACCTGCGGTCCAGCATGGTTCTCAGCCTGGCTGCAACTTTGGCAGAAGTGCAGGGTGCCGGGAGGGAGGGTTGAAAAACGTAGCGGCTGACTGCGGCTGACTACGGCTGACCGGCTGACTCCGGCTGACTCCGGCTGACTCCGGCTGACTCCGGCTGACTCCGGCTGACTCCGGCTGACTCCGGCTGGACTCCGGCTGACATCGGCTGACTCCGGCTGACATCGGCTGACTCCGGCTGACCGGCTGACTCCGGCTGACTGCGGCTGACCGGCTGACTCCGGCTGACTCCGGCTGACTCCGGCTGACTCCGGCTGACTCCGGCTGACTCCAGCTGACTCCGGCTGACTCCGGCTGACTCCGGCTGACTCCGGCTGACTCCGGCTGACTCCGGCTGACCGGCTGACTCCGGCTGACCATCCGACTCCGGCTGACTCCGGCTGACCATCCGACTCCGGCTGACTCCGGCTGACTCCTGCTGACTCTGGCTGAGTCCGGCATGTAGACTTTTACTAAAGAAAGAGTGGAAGATAGCAAAGGGCAGATGCAATGCCATGTTGGGATTTTTATGACTGGAAACAAGAGATAATTATTCTTTTCAAGCTTTTGACGTTGCATATGTCCTGTATGGGCGGCCACGGTTTCCATGGGCTGTCCCTTTTGTGCCACTTTCATGTGCGGATCTGCCGCGAAGTTCTTGTGTAAAGTTCTTTGTGAACGAAGGAGCGATCACAATTCAGAAGGTGAAGTTCAGCTACAAACATAATATGTTAAACCAATTCGGGAAAAAGGACTTGTAGATCAATTTCATAAAGACAACTTATGCTTGCACCAACATGCTCGCGTGGTTTACTTGTGTGGCGTAAGCACAATGCGAAGATAAGCGTGGCACACTGATTGCAATCAATGACGTGTGTGACATATAGTTGTGGAAGATCTATCTATACTGAATAACATGTAAAAACAAACTTGTAAGTGGGGAGCCTTACCTTTTAGCATCCATGTCCATGTCATGAAATGTCAATTGGCCGATGGTCATAGCAGCCATTCTATTTTTAGAAGGCCATCTGAAGGAAAGCCGATGAAGGAAAACCAATCACATATCAACCGGGTGTGTGGGATTCCCGTTTAAAATTCAGGGGGAGACGTTGTGAAAGCAAAACGTGGGCACTATACAGAATCTATACCGTCAGTCTACAAGGTTAAAAAGTTGAGAGGCAAAAAACAGTAAACTTGGCAATTCACTAGTGGCATTTTTTGGGTTAAAACATGTAAATAAATGGGAATATTGAGATGGAATCTTTTTTTCCAAGCATGATCCGCAAAAGTTTGTGTGAAATATCAAGACCCCTGATTCAAAACAGTTTTGTTCTTTCTGGAAAAGAGCACCGCGCACAAACAAGTGGAACTCTTCACGTCCCGAAACATGCCTTTTAAAAAGGCAACAACTTCTGCCTTCAAGATGTTACATGCGTGAACTCATTGAAAAATGTTGTCCACAAGAATTTGGATTATATATGATATCAGCAAACATAGCTAAAGTCACAAAGGATGGATAAACGGACTTGTTGCTGCCAAGTGCTACGCATGACCTTACTTGAGAAAATGCTTGATGACAATTACATGTGCTTTATATGCTTGTCGGCTGATCTAATTACAAAAGCACTTCCCTTGAGAATGTTTTCAGTCGACTTTACTTGATCCATTTCACTGGATATGTCCAATGATTAATCCGAACTTCAGTTCCATGGACTTCACTTGACATTCTTTTCCATGGACTTTACTTTACTTGATATTCAATTCAAATGGAAATTACTTGACATGATATGCAATGAATTTACCTCAGCTGATATTCAATAACCTTTACGGGAGATTACTTTCCGTGGGCTTTACTTTTGATTGTCTTCAATGGACTTACTTGAGACACACCCCAGTTGAATTTTATTTGAGACTGCCTTAAGGGGACTTGGGACGCAATTCAACGAACTTTACTTGAGACTGTCTTCAATATACTATACATGAGATTATCTCTAGTGAACTTTGTCGGAGATGATGTTCAAAAGACTGCAATTGTGCCGACCTTGTGCATGTATTTGTGTTTGTGTGTGTGTCAGGTCTCATGTATTTTCTTGCGCGTACCAGATTTCACAACGAATGTGACGAAGAAATTGTGAAGTGTCGCACGTAATTATTGTGCACCTTTGATGTGTTTTAAATGCACAGCATTTGCATTTTTAAAAAACGTCATGTGCCTTCATGTAATTTGGTAAAAGTTTCATGTAATATTAGCACAATTACATGAAGTCTGAAAAATTGCAGATAGAGTGCTTATACACCGCATCGGAAGCACACAAGCAATTAGATAGGAAATACAGAGAACTTCACACAAGTTTTAACTGACTTTCTTTGGTCCCAGTAGTTTCCATCAAAGTTCAACTAGACTGGCATGAAACGCTGCGAGAATTTGTAAGGGTTAAAGTCCAAATTGTTGTTCTTTTAGTGGGTTTGCTGTTTAGTGCAAAATGGCACTGCGGTTTATGTACCTCCATTGCCAAGATTTTGCGTGCAACAGTAAATCGCGGCTTTGGGAGGACAAACTGTTGGGAATGTAATTCTTTAATGCAGACCATGCTGCATCAATAGTACCAGTAGGACAAAAAAAGATCAAAAAAGAAGATAACAACGTAGTTGCAAGTTGTGTTACAAAAGTCAACAATGTAGTTGGAACTTGATCGAGAAGATAACAACGTAGTTGCAAGTTGTGTTACTAAAGTCAACAACGTAGTTGGAACTTGATCGGCAAGAAAACAACGTAGTTGCAAGTTCCGTCACAAGAGCCGACAACGTAGTTGCAAGTTGTCTTTAAAGAGTCGGCAACGTAGTTGGACCTTGATCGAGAAGATAACAACGTAGTTGCAAGTTGTGTCACAAGAGCCGACAACGTAGTTGCAAGTTGTCTTTAAAGAGTCGGCAACGTAGTTGGACCTTGATCGAGAAGATAACAACGTAGTTGCAAGTTGTGTTACAAGAGCCGACAACATAATTGCAATTTGAAAATTTAGTAATGCACTTGGCAGTTGTTAGTAGAAAAGACGTTAATAGCCCACCCCGCCCCATCCCACCTCATGCAAGTGGTTAGAAAGGTTAGTAACGCAGTTGGAGGTTGTTTGTGAAAAAGACGTTAATAGCCCACACCATCATGCAAGTGGAGAAGTTAGTAACGCAGTCAAGCGCGGATTTGGAAACTAAAACCATGGATTCGGAAATGAACATGCACGCGGATTCGGAAACTAAGATTCGGAAACTAAAACCGCAGATTCGGAAACGAAGATTCGGAAACTAACAGACACGGATTCGGAAACGAGGATTCGGAACATAAAAACAGAGGATTCGGAAACTAAGGAGGACGGGGCTTCCGAAACTAAGATTCGGAAACTAAAAGCGCAGATTCGGAAACTAAGATTCGGAAACTAAGAAACACGGATTCGGAAACTAAGACTCAGAAACTGACAGACACGCGACACGCGGATTCGGAAACGGAAACTATCCATATAGGGAGTTGGAAACCGGGAGTCGGATACTAAAACCCGGGGAAGCACAGGAACAGGGAGTTGGAAATGCGAAACTCGTGATGAAAGGGGATTGGATTACAATTGTTCAACATGCTGCTTTTGAATCTGAATATTCATTTGCAGTCACTTCCCCTATGTGATATGGTTGCAACCTCCAAGCCAGCACCAGCAAAATGACTGCAGGGTTGAGTGCCAGATACGTAAGAAACTCATCAGATTTGCATCCTTTTTACCAAGAAACTCATGTTCACTTCCCTCAAGTGGTGTTGGACAGTCCAAGTCAATTTGAAGTTCCATGGGGTGGCAATTTTGATATCATCATCCTTGTGGACAGTCCAAGCCACTTTGAAATTGCAAGGGGGCTGGCGATGTTGATATCATCTTATCCTTGTGGACACTCCAAGTCAAATTGAAGTTCCATAGGGGTGGCAACTTTGATATCATCTTCTCCGTGTGGAAAGTCCAAGTCAAATTGAAGTTCCATGCGGTGGGAATTTTGATGTCACCTTATCCCTGTGGACAGCCCAAGACAATTTGAAGTTCCATGGGGGTGGGAATTTTAAAATCATCTTATCTTTGTGGAAAGTCCAAGTCCATTTGAAGTTCCATAGGGGTGGGAATTTTGATATCATCTTATCCATGCGGGCAGCCCAAGTCAATTTGAAATTCCATGGGGGTGGGAATGTTGATATCATTTCATCTTATCCTTGTGGACAGTCCAAGCCAATTTGAAATTCCATGGGGGTGGGAATTTTGATATCACCTGATCCTTGTGGAAAGCGTAGGTCAAATTTCAAGTTCCATAGGGGTGGGAATTTTGATATCAGCTTATCCATGCGGGCAGCCCAAGTCAATTTCAAATTCCATGGGGGTGGGTATTTTGAAGTTCCATGGGGTGGGAATTTTGGTATGATCTTATGCTTGTGGACGGTCCAAGTCAATTTGAAGTTCCATAGGGGTGGGAATTTTGATATCATCTTATACATGCGGGCAGTCCAAGTCAATTTGAAGTTCCATGGGGGTGGGTATTTTGAAGTTCCATGGGGTGGGAATTTTGGTATCACCTTATCCTTGTGGACGGTCCAAGTCAATTTGAAGTTCCATAGGGGTGGGAATTTTGATATCATCTTATCCATGCGGGCAGCCCAAGTCAATTTGAAATTCCATTGGGGGTTGGTATTTTGAAGTTCCACGGGGTGGGAATTTTGGTATCATCTTATCCTTGTGGACAGTCCAAGTTCATTTGAAGTTCCATGGGGGTGGTAATTTTGATATCATCTTCTCCATGCGGGCAGTCCAAGTCAATTTGAAGTTCCATGGGGGTGGGAATTTGGGTATCATCTTATCCTTGTGGACAGTCCAAGTTCATTTGAAGTTCCATGGGGTGGGAATTTTATATATCTTATCCTTGTGGAAAGTTTGAAGTTCCATGGGGGTGGGAACGTTG